TCTCTCTCTCTCTCTCTGTGTGTGTGTCTGTGTGTGTGTATGTGTGTGTGCTGCCCTCAATAACAGCCTCCCGCACTCTTGCGTGGGCGACAACACAAATTGTTGGTGTTGACGCCCACAATCTCACTTATATGCAGATGTGGGCGGGGTCCTTCCCCCAAGGCCCCCGATTCCACCCATTTTAAAAAAATATATTTCCGCTGAGAAATGAAAAAAAAAAGACTGCCTGCGTCCCCGCGGGGCCCAGCCTGCCAGCCTGTGACATGGGCCAGGGCAGTTGGGGAGGGAAGGCCGGACCCACGGCCTGCCCTCCCAAACTGCCCTGGCCCATGCCACAGGCTGCCAAGCTGAGCCCCGCGGGACGCAGGCAGTCGTTTTTTTTTTTCATTTTTCAGCGGTTTTTTTTTTTTTTTTTTTAAACATGGCAGTGGCCCTCCGCACCCATCCCACCACCCAGGCCCTCGGAACCCCCCCGGCACGCCCCCAACGGCCCCTGGCGCGTTCGTACGGGAACCATCCGTACGCTTGTACGAACGTCTGTCCGTGCATATGCACGGGCGGTACGGAGACACCCCGTACGACGTACGGGGGACGACACTGCTGCAGTCCAACCGGACAACCTTCTGGAAGACCCGGCAGCCACCATCCCATCACTTGAGGGAGATCAGGTGGCCGTCGTCTAGCCGTGAAGCAGCAACAAATCCCGTTAAAAAGGAAAGGTGAAAACAGCATCGCCGGCTGGAAACGGACAGCAAGTACCATCATTCGGTCAAGTTTAGCTTGGCCGAGCCAAAATACAAGTGACGCAGCCGGTATGTCTGCTGCTATTGGTGCAACAACACCAAGCACAAGACCTTCCAATGCCCAAATCAAGGCAAGGAGGATGTTCGAACTCGAACTAGCTCGGGAAACTGAGCCGCATGAGAAGTGAGGCGACTCCACCTATGAATCCCCCCCCGAGGCGGCCATGCGCGGTCTAGGCCGCGACCCCGCGACCATGAAAAAAATAAAAATAAAAAAAATTGTGCAATTAAGATCTCAAAAAGATCTACAACCCCACATTTTTCATTTTTTTTTTAGAATTTGATAAAGTCTTAAAAAATCTTTGAAAGTCGCGGCCACACCCAACCGCGGTCGGAGCTGTGGCGGCCGTGATCACGATCGCCCTCTGAGCTCGACCCCGCGGACGTGTCCGCGGGTGTTTCATAAGACTCCACCTCTCACTCTGCTAGATTCGGCCACCTTGCTAGTGGCCTCCTACACATCTGGGGAGAACGCGGATGTCGCATGTCCTCAGTACACTTATGAGCCACGAATCCCCCGCGACCTTGGTCACCACGGCCCCGGCCTGGACCTGCGGCCGCGACCGCGAGGCCACGGTCATAACTGCAGCGGCCGAGGGGAGAGGGGGTTGGGGAAGGGGGTTGCGGATTGGGGTTCCGGAACCCTGACCCCACCCATTCGAACAAAAAAAATAGAAAAAAATAAATTTCGGGGGGGTGATTCTTGGTGTGTGAAAAAAAAAAAAAAAAGGAAAAACAAATATTGATTGATTGATAGATTGATTGATTGATTGATTGGTTGGCTGATTGATTGATTGATTGATTGATTGATTGGTTGATTGATTGATTGATTGATTGATTGGTTGATTGATTGATTGTTCGATTGATTGATTGATTAATTGATTGGTTGATTGATTAATTGATTGATTGATTGATTGGTTGATTGATTGATTGGTGGGGGAGGGGTCCTCCCTCCCCTCCCCCCGGCACACACAAACACACATGCACACACACACACACACACGAGCACACACACACCCGCACACACACACACACACACACACACACACACACACACACACGCACATGCATACGAACACACACACATACACACACACACACGTGCACGCCCACACACACACACGAGTGCGCGCACACACACATGCACACACACACACACACACACCCGTGTGGCTGGTGGTGGACATTTAGGGTAGATCTTTGTACATGTGTACATGAGGGAGGGTGAGGCTGGTGGTGAAGACTGTTCGACCGCCATAGCCGCAAGTTGTACAGTTGTGCAATCAGACTCGCTTTCTTTCACAACTCACATGCATGTAAACAGGTAGCGCAGCAAACTGGCGACAAGCGCCCACTCAGAACTCAGAGATAAGGTAACCAAGAACGCAGTTCAGATACAAGCTCACTTCAAACGGCTATGGCGCAACAACGCCTGTACAACTCTCTGTTCGTCGCCACCCCAACTCCGCTGTTCACACACACAAGATCACCCTGGATATCCCACACGCATCACACTGTACACACATGCACACACACACACGCTACACTCTCCTATCAGCTATGGCGGCTATGGCCGCTACCACCCCTATCACAATGGCTAAGCTCTCCTTCTCGCCCACTTCGTCTTCTAGCTCACTGCAGACCACCTCACACAAGTCGTTGTGGCAGCGCTTCCGCATGGCTTACGCAGAAATGAATGAATGGTTGGGCGCTGCCTCCTGATTTATACTTCTGTAGCTCGTTCGTCTGGCCCTTTCCCATGCCCTTGGTGCATGCAGTCCCACATGGTACTTGCTTGACTGGACTGAGACTAACTGGGACTGGGTACTGCTGACTCAGCACTGGTGGACTTTGCCACTTGCCCACTTGCCTCGGTCTACTGTGGGCAGTACCCGAAAGCTATGTGACACCCGCGGCCGCGGCCACGGGCATTTCGGCCGCTGCGGCCGAAAATCCCGGCTGCAGCCGCGGCCAACGAGGCCCAGTCCGCGGCCTGGTTTTTTAAATATTTTTTTTAACCTCTAAAAATACTATAAAAAAAAAAAAAAAAAAAAAAAAAGGGGGTGTAGGGCTTCGAAAACCCTACACCCTTATATT